CTTTACGGTGTGAGGAACGAGAAGACTTACAAAGACTGCAAAGTGAATTTGCTTGGCATGTCAAGGTCCTGTTGAAAGATCGCAACTGGCATTAAAAGAGAAATGGATTATTCCTAAATTCCCATATTGTGGGCAGACATACAAAGGAAAAAAATAAAAATAAAAAAGACTAAGAATTCAAACCAGCTTGAATTTATAAAACCGGAAGTCTCGGGTGAATGAGAAGTAAGTCTTGTATGCAAATTTTAATTGCCCTCAACGTGGGCATAAATAGTGAGTCTGGGAGGAAGACGAGGTAACGCATTGTTGGCATGACGGCGTATGTACTAACGAGACTGAGAGAATAAGAGGTCACTAGAAACAGCTCACTTGGTAGACCAGAGGACTGGACGAAAGCAAGTACTTTAATCCATTTCAGTCATCGCAAACGACAGGCAAAACTGAATTACCCACATACGGCTTTATGATCTAAATCAAGGGATCAACATTATTGTAATATATCACAGATGTATGAGATTAATTTTTTCTCTTTCTATCATGACAGTATCTACATGAGTCAAAAAATGCCTGATTGGGTCAATATCGAATAAAATATACAATGAGATTACAGTCTTTGTTGGTGGTGGAGGTTTTGTAAAAGATACTGCAGTACAAGTCTGTGGCCTGTCTCATTTTCCAAAATATGATCAAATGACCATTTTATTTTTTTAGAGCTTCTTGGTTAAGCTTAGAACTTTTCATCATTCCCTTTTCTTTTTATGATAATGGCCTACAAGAAACAGGAGATGGAGGATACATTTCCGCTATTGAGTTGGCAGGTTCACATAAGACAAAAAAATATATTGATTTATTTAAATCACATGCTCAATTTTTTTTTTTTCATAAGACAGAATTAAATAAGAATAAAATAAAACACAAGAACAATTTTTATGAAAATTATATGACAACTTTATAGATTTGACATATATCACTTTCTTTCTCTCATCATTTCAAATACTGTCTGCCTGACCTAATACATGCACTGGCAATAGCCAATGGTTTTTTTTGCTTTTTTTTTTTTTGCTTTTTTTTGTACCCAATTATTCCAACCAAATTGCAAGGATCTCCTTTTCTGGCACTTTCTCTCCTCAACTGCTCTTTGATATGAAGATACAAATTGGAAGAAATCAAAAGAAAAATGTGGAAGGGTAAAGAGTGAAGACTGTTTGTGTTTCATGTTATCAAATCAAAGAAACTGAGGAGCTGACATGAGTAGAACAGAGAAAACAGAAATTTACTCAGAAACTTACCAAATGAAGCACACGTTTCTTCTTTGCTCCTGAACATTTTCTCACTGAAATATTTCTTTTGGATTTTTTCATTGGCTTTGGTTTTCTCCAATTAAAGATCAAAGTAAGAAAATATGAAGGATTAATTTTTTGTATGTAAAGGAATTCTGGATTAAATTCAGAGTGGCTGTGAAGTCAATTGTGGTTCAATGCTTGTTGCTAACTTGGTCACAAGGGATATTATACACAGAGTACATAAATTTTTTTTGGGGGGGGAGGGGATTAAAATTGATTACATTCATCTTGCTGTTCCAATGTAACACCAATTTTTTCTAAAATTCATATTTCTATTGCTGGATACTTATGTCTCTGACAGTTTTTAAAAAATATCAGCTGAAATATCTGTTCTTTTAATTTTTTTAAAAATGGGCCACAGTTCACTTACTTCTTGTCTAATATTTTGTTCACTGAGTCATATTTCCCCAGTATAAAACATTTAGTAAATTTATTTAACTTCATTTAAATCTATTTTAAATTAACATTTGGTTTAGAAAATTATTAAATCTCTAAATGAAATAGAAACAATTAGGAGCAGTCTGTCATTTCTTTCCTTTTTTGGAAGCGGGGGGGACCACATCTAGATTCAGTAGAATGATCAAGTTTTTATAAATGTTACACAGCAGTTCATAATCTTTTATTTTAGAACTAGAGAAATAGCTACTAGACAAAATTTTTTTAAAATAGTCAAATTATCTTTCTGCCCAACAAAATACTTGAGATGAAACTAAATATTTTTGCCAATGTCACTAACACTGAACTATACTTACACACTCCAATTATGCAAGTAATTCTTCATACAATAGAAATATTGTAAATTTTATTAGTACGTGATTATTTGGGAAAAAAACTCTTTACTCAAAATTCTAATGAAAATGTCCTCAACTGTCTTCCTATGAACCTAACCAGCATTTGGGGTGAGACTTTAAATTTTGCCACCATCTATTCTCTCCTCTACCATTTAATCAAGCATAAGATGAAAGATTTGCCCAAGATTTACACAGGTTTACCCTTCTAATCACCATGCCTTTTGTGCACCGAAGTTTTCTGTTAGTAAAAAGATTTTTCTCATACTTGACCCTTTAAAATATCGTAGCAGTTGCCCTGACCTTGAATAATAAAATGATGCTACAGTCTTTGAATTTTGATAAGGACTTGTAATGTTTCTATTATTATTATTCAAAACGAAAGGGGAAAAGAAGAGAAGCTTAACAGGGAGCCAAGGAGAAACAAAAACTTACAACAACAAACAAAAAAATATAAATTAACTAAAATATTTTTGGCAGATATCTTTGGTCTGAAATAATATTGTGATGAGACTATTTCATCTGCTGCATTTTATCTCAAAGAGGATTTACTTAGAAAGAGGAATAGAAAATCACTCTCATTATGTTTTTTTTTGTTGTATGTTATTCAAATTTCTTTTGATGATTTTTTTATAAATAACGGATGCACATTTCAGAAAGTGACGGCAAAATGGAAAAAAAAAGAACTGTGATTTTAAATACAGATTGTTGCTATTTTTATCTATTTTTACTGTGACTAAGGTAAGTGACCAATCAGAATGCTCAGAATATCACTGCTTTTTCTGAAGGTAAACCACTGCCACACAATAAAAGTTGTTTTTTTTTTTTTTGCAACAGTCAGTCAATAATAAGTTACAAATGCAACCAAAGAGAAGAACAAACATGGAGCCCAAATAACAACCTAGCCATTTCAGATCTGTAATTGCAAGTGACATTTCCAAAATTCCCTTTACAAAAGAAAAAAAAAGCTGCTTTAGAAAACTGCTAGCCTGATATAATCTCTTTGGCTTAATATAAGAAAGATCAAGCAATATAAAGTTACATCCCCCCCTCTCCTTTTAGTTCAGTAGCAGTGAGGAAACGGTTCTTCCAGGAATCATTTTCATCATCAGGCTAGCAGCTCTGTTTAATTTTTCATATAGAACATGTCTTCTGAATACCCAACTTCAGCTCCAATACAGTATATCAATAATGAAAGGGGGAAGAAAAAGAAAAAAAAAAAAAAAACAATGTAATTTACATCCCACAAAAATCTTGTGCAGTTGCCTTTTTCCTGTTCTTATATTTAAAGAAAAGGTGAAAAAAAATTGTTTATCCCTTTTGTGTTCTGGCTTTTCAAGTTTAATAAAAAGTAGGATGATAAGGTCTTAGAAATTAGACAACTTAAAATATAAAGAAAAATTAAATATAGTTGGTTTTGTGAGGTTGTTTGCATTTGGAGAAGATTTTTCTTCCTCTTGCTGATATTTCAAACAGCTGAAAGCTACAAAATAAAGTCATTTTTATGCCTTTTGTTTTCAAAGTGAGTAAAAAATATTGATGCTTTGAGCACAATATGTGTTTGTGTGTGTGGGGGTATGTGTTTGTGTGTGTGTACTCAAAGATGGTTTGTTGGTTGGAATGGTACATATAAATTTCTATTATCCAGCAGAATGTATCCTTGCAGTTCAAAAAAAAAAAAAAAAAAAAAAAAAAGGCCATCATTAAATGCTGGTAGGTGGGGAAAGATAATGATGACAATTGTAGTAATAACAATAATTACAAAGCTAAAACAATTGTGTGTGTGTGTGTGTGTGTGTGTGTGTGTGTTTCAGCCAATGGTGTAATCCAAGGTGGTGTTTTGGATTTGGATTTGGATATGTGGGGAAAGAGAAGGTGGAGGCTTTAAGGATGCTTATCCCCTTCCCTTAGAGACTGAAGATTGACAACCCAGCTGTCACGAGAGGAGGACAAAGAGGATCAGCATCAGCAATGAGTGGGAGGAGTGGGAATAAAAAGTTCCCCCAAATTTGATGGGATGAATGAATTTTGTCAGTAAGGCATCACAGTAACAACTTTTGTTATTATGGCCACAGCAAAATTAAGTTAATGCACAAAGGAAATATTTGTTTATATTTGCTTATATTAGTAGTTTTTAAGTCCGATTGTACAACGGTCTCAGTTGATATTGTTCTAAGAGGCAAGGCATCAAGCAAAAGATGTTGTAACACATTTATCATGCTTACATGTTAGCTGTTCAGTTGGCAATAAATTGTTTCAGTTCTCCAGACAGCGAATAAAAAATTCTCACTTGCCTTTTATTTGGTTAAATATGCTTTTCATTCTATCACTGCACTTTTAAAATAAATAAGCAGTGGATATCTGAATGGGGGAGACACCTCTTGCTAAGCAATTTTCAACTGGATGCTGGGAAACTAGTGTCTCTCAAAGTTCTTTAATTATATTGAGAATTTACCATATGATGGAATACTAAGTAAATGTGATACCTAGTATCTGATGAAAAACTAATACCACAGGCTAAAGTTTATCAATTATATTGAGAAAAAGTTGTAGCTGGCTTTTGAATTGTCAGTGTTTGAAATAATATCATTACCTTTCATAATTGTTATCTTCCAACTAGTATGTTGAATAATAATAATTTTAAGAGGGCTCAGCAAGGGCACTAGGAATAAATCCATGAAGATAAAGGACCCATAAAAAATTTGGTCACCATTTATCTTTAAATCATAAAGAAAGTGCTGTGGTCAGTTGCTGTTTCATGCCTTGTAAACAATGCTAAATACCTATATTTAGAATGATAATGTAAGGTACGATGATCATGAAGAAATAAGGGGGGGGGGAAAAAAACAAATAACTGGGTTACCAGATATTACCTGCCCCTACCCCCTCGTCCACCTCGGAAGGGTCCCCTACCACCTCTATCTCCACGTCCACCACGTCCACCACGTCCACCCCGGAAACCACCACCACCTCGTGGTCCAGAATTGAAGTCCTGATTAAAGTTACGGCCTGCAGCAAATTCGGCACCAGGGTCTTGCCGGCTGTACTTATTGTCTCGAGGGTCAGACATTCCCTGGTTTTGTTGATGACTGGGTGGGGCATTCATTTGACCCTCATCCCAGTGGCGCTTTCGTGAGTTCTGTGAGTCCATTCCCTGGTCATGCCCAGGGTCATTACCTCTTCCTCTGTGATCAAAGTCATCAGACTGTTGAGGATTACCCATTTGAGGTGGTCCATAACCACCTCGACCGCAACCGCGTGGAGGAAAACCTCGATTCCGATCCATTCGTTCATCAATATCATGATATTCATCGGCAGGAGATTCATACTGTTCGTTGTCACCAGGTGGGGGCCTGTCTGGACTGTCTTGCCACTGGTTGGATGGGCGGTCATTTGTGTTGAATCGTTGACCACCATTTCCATTCCCACCACCACAGGGCATGTTCATGTCTCCTCGATGACCACGTGCACTACCTCTAAAGGGCATGCCGCCACCTCCCCCTACATCATTTGGATTGTGATTCATTTGACGGTAATCATGATCTCTGGAATTCATTTCAAAGTTCTGATTTGGCATGTCACCATTGTTGCTAGGAGGACGATTATCACTACCCTCTGGTGGAGGCATAAATTGTCCTGGTGGAAGTCCTTGCTGATTTGGTGGTGGGCCATTAGGATCATTCACTCCAGGTCGAACAGGCATTCCTGGTGGTCCTTGTCGAACCATAGGCATTTGATTGGGAGGCATCATAGGTCCTTGTCCATGTGGAGGAGGAGGAGGTTGCTGCATGTTTGGACCTCGAAGACCTAAAATAAAAAAAATAAGTAAAAATTGGGAAAATAAATTAAGATAGTCAACTTGTAGCATAAATTAAAGGTTTTAACTTCAATGGAAGCATACAAATTTACTCATGATTATTTCTTTTTATATCAACAATAATAAAATATGGTGGTGAACAAAAGAAAATTAACCAATAATCAATTTGTTTAACCTTGAAATTTTCAACAATCTACTTTCAGGAGTATTATCTGTAGTTATTTAGGACTGTAATGCAAGTTGTTGCATTCACAGTGACATAGTATAAGGGAAAAATACAGGCCTGAATAGATGATGATACTGAAAATATAGTATGCAAAAGTTATGAGTCACTTGACCCTGTTCTTCTGATAAACATCTTCATAGAATAAGATACACATGGAGATTTCTCATGTTAAATCAACCAAAAGTAAACTATATCAACTTTGAATCCTTCAGTTTGACTTCTGACTATAGCTGATTTAAATTCTATAATGGAAAAAATTATTTTCAAGAGGAGGAGGAAGATCATTCAAATATCACAAAGAATGAGTCAAAGTGAAATTGCCAATTATCTTAGAATATCAAGGTTCTCTTTCCAAATCTCTCAGAAGCCTACTTATGGTGGGAGCATTTTAAAAGAAGGAAAACTTGATAGACTTCCAAATTAGTTTAACGAGAGCAAAGAAAGCTTAATATCAATATCCAACCAAAAGTTAACAGCCCAAGTAATGCATGAAAGCAGCATTACAAATGAACTGTCAGTTCATACATGAAAGATACAACATAGAAATAATCTAAGTGAATCTATAAAAATGACATCACTAACCAAAAAACATGAAAAGATTAAAAAAGTTTTACCCTGTGATAAAGGATATATATATATATATATATATGGTGAATACACACCTTGTATTGCTTGATGTTCAACCATATTGAGTGGATGTAACAAGTTTCCAGAGACTTGACCTAAATAAAAAAAATCAACTCTTTAATTAAAAGTTTACTTTACAATGTGTTTTTGTTTTAAGAACTAGAGTGTGAAAATATAAACATAAAATTATTTTGTAAGTTTAAATTTTAATAGAAACAACTTTTTCAGCTTAGGTCCTGAATAATTAAATAGGTTACTATTAAGGCTTATTAGTCTATCCCTGCATGACAAAGTGGGTGGCGACCTACTCATACTGAGTTAATAGAAACAAAGAGGCTTAATGACAGTCAACAGAGTTAAGTGTGGAAAGGTCTGATTTTATAGTATAGAACTAGGGAAAAATCTAAGCGGAGGCTTGATATCATTTAATGATTATTGGAATTAAATGGAGAAAATGAAAGTTAGTTTTGAGACATCAGAAATAACTTAGTATAACTGTATACAAGACCGATTCCACCTGCTACACTTACCAAAGGAAAATTAATGACAAGTAATAAATTACTTCTACAGCTGAAATAAAAAATTATCTCTAAAGACCCTTTAGATTAAGTTCTTTACATAAAGACATATTTATTAGATTGGTGTAGTTTCTTAGGCAAAATCATTTGAGAAATATTGGCCAAAGCTGACCAATAAGCTGTACAATTTATTTACATAAAGACATATTCACCAGTCACCTTAAAAAGAAAATAGTTTTCTGGAAGCAGGTTAGTCAAGTAGCTGGCTATGTGTTTTCTGAAACAAAAGAAGCCTTACAGAATGTAAATAAATGGTCTAATCTAGAGTTTGTCAATTTATGTTTTGGTATCAGTTTCCATTTTTTTTCCTTGATATTGTGGTTTTCGATTCATTTTTTTTCGGTTTTTAATTTAGTATTTTTGCTTTCTAAGGAAGCCATTCATTTTCTTGTGTAATGATACCATTTCCAGTCAATATCTGATTTTTTTTTTTTTCAAGACTAAATTTTCAATGTTACTTTGGTCACTTTCATTTTGCAAAACACTCTTTATCAATATTCTTGAAATTGTGCACTCAATTAGAAGACACCTTAAACTACAACCAGTAACATGTTCATTTCTTCTTTCACCCATGGAGGTGAATTCCTTCAAAAATTATAAAGTAAGCAGTAAAAAAAAAAAAAAAAAAAATTAACTGATAGTATGTATGGTAAAAGAACTTTCAAATTATTGAAACTACTGTCTTGTTGCATAAAATAAACACCCCCATATACTTTTCAACTTTCGAGTGTTGTTTTTTGAAATGTCTGTCATTGTGGAAGTCTGTTAACTGGTGCTGGTGCATAAGGGGTCAATATTTGGTTTTAAACAAGAGTAATAAAAATTTATAGACATGTTAAAGACCACTGGAATTGAAAACCCGAAAACCACGAGTCAGGGTGGGTAATAAAGTAGGGATTGTTCACCTAAAAAGTCAATATTTTGGGTTTTAAAGGTAATTTAGTAATAGAATTCACAACTTAGATTAAAGTTTATTAAACTTTCAAATAAATTGTCAACTATAACTACCATAAATTGGTAAAATATGAAAGAAATCGTCGCATAAAATATATATATTTGTGTCTTTGGACAACACATTTTTGAGAGAGGAAATGGTAAAGCTCTCCAGAAATTAGTTTATGATGTGGCTTTTAAATAATTAAATTAAAAATACGGAAATTCTTTTCTGATACACCAGTCAACTGTTATTTGGGTTTTGCAAATAAATTTCTTCTAAAAATGTTGTTATTTGTTACTTTTGCTAATTTTTCTGTCAAAAAAAATTATTTCACAATTTCAATACTGCAAAATGCTTTTGTTCATTCTTTATCAATAAAAAGCTCTTAATAATGTCTTATTTATTTTTTGAGGAAACTAAAGGTAAGAAGAATAAGAACGTTCTTTCTTTAGTTTCCTATTTCCATAACTGATTAGTATGTCATTTGACCGAACAAAAGTTCAAAGAGTTAAGTTTAAGACAAAATAATCCAGAAGACAATATTAGCCAAAAAGGATGAATTAGCAGTAAATTAAGTTTATGGCCACAAAGAATTTACAGGGTGTTCAGAAAGTTACTGTGAACTTTTCTAATCATATTTTTTATATTTCCAATATTTCACCCCAATATGGTTTTAACAACTGAAGAACACGTATTTTGAGAAGGTGGTAGAGAAGATTTGGTGCAACAGCATTTTACTGATAAATTTTCAGATACCCCTGTTCCACATTGCAATGCTGTTCATAATCTGGTTGATAAATTTCAGGAAACAGAATCAGTGGACGATAATTAACATTGTGGAAGGCCAGTAAAACTATCAGGAGAAACTGTTGAATATTTCTGACAGTATGCAGCAGAGTCCAAGAAAATTAGCACAGCAGCAAGATATTGGTCTTGGAACTTCTTTTAAGTCCATCAGACAAAAATTAAAACTCTTCCCATAAAAAATACATGGCAGTGTTCAGAAACAAAATAAGAAGGATCCAAGCCTGTAGTGGTGCTAACATGTGCTACTTTTAACATTGTTTATAATTTTCATTCATATTCTCCTCCTGTAATCTATATTGAAACATGTCTGTTAATAAAAATATAAGTGCATAGTGACTTCCAAACACTCTGTATTTCTTTTTTGTTTCTGCCATTCTTACATTTTATCCCATTTGATTAACTTCATTAATCCTGTAGGTAATATATGTAATAAGAATTGGTAGAGTAATTTATATAAAAGACTAACAAATTTAATACTTAAACTTTATCACATTCAAAGATGAAATGCTGAAATAAAAGCAATAAATTAACTGCTAAACTTTTAACTCATTATCTTTATAACTTTTTAAACCTTCAAAAGGCAGTGTAACTCAGTTTTAGCCAACCCACTTAGTATGAAAACGGTTAAGTCAAAAGATATCAATCTAAACTTAGTATAACTTTCATTAGCTCAGTTATATTATGATGTCTAAATGCACACTTGTAAAATCTAGTTCTCAATATAACTTCCAATACCTTCTAAGAGTTATGTAATACTACGCATAATTTTCATTTTGCATTAAAACTGATATTTGTCATTTTAGAAAGCACATTTATTTTTACAAACTTGTCAACTACACATTTTCCATTAATTTTTCATATAAAATCCTTTGAATTTGAAAAAAATTAACACTTAAGAATAAAAAATAAAAAAAGAACATCATTATTTAATATAACAAAAGCTTATAAACCAAAGTAAACTCAATCAGAATAAAAAATATTATCTACAGTCTAAGAAAAAACAATTCTTACCCATTGGAGGGTGCATTGGTGGACGAGACCCTTGTGGCAGAGCTCCCATATTTGGAGGCATATTTCCAGCTGGTCCCATCATTGCTGGGGGTTGCATGCCCTGTGGCATAGGTTGCAATACTTGTCCACCCATTGGAGGAGGTGGAGGCAAAGGAGCATTCATGCCCATCGGAGCAGTTGGAATCTGTGGTGGTGGGGGCATACCAGGTGGCAAGTTGCCTTGGTTAGGAGGCTTTATTCCTGGTTGTTGGGCTGCTGCTGATACCATTTGCTGATTAGCTGTTACTGGTGTACCAGCTGGTGGAGGATTTGGTGGAGGTACTCCTTCCCGGGGTTGGGTAGCCATTGATATTACTGTTGCAGTAACTGTTCCATCTTTTTGGGCAGATTTCTGTTGATTAGCCTCTGTGGTGGCCACTCCAGCTGGCTTTTGCCCAAGCCAAGCTTGTTCAAAGTTCTTGGGGACTGGCCGTGCATAAGGCACCCTTTTGCGAGGGATTCTCTGCTCATTTTGTTGCTTAAGATACTGTTCATCAGCTGCCCAGTCCAAACCAGGGATGCATGGAAGTTCATTATCACTGCCACTGCCACTGGTCACTTCTACCAAACATAAAAAGGACAATTTAACATTTAAAAATGCAAAAAGAAAAAATATAGAAAAAAAAAAAAAATCATTTTCTGTGCCTAACAATAAAAGAAATTGACAGTTATGTGTAGACTGTCTTATTTTTTGTGGACCTAATAATTTGTTTAAGTTTTTCAGTTTTTAGTCACTAATTTAATCAAGTTTATAATATTTTAATGCTTATTTTGTTGTCATCTGCACTAGTGACACTGCTTCTTTTTTCTATTTCTAACACAACTTTGTATCTTTGAAATAAACATTAAGACATTTAAGAGTAATAAGTAATAATCATTATTTTAATTTAAAAATTAGTCAGTGTTTAAAAATAAGCATTATATGACATAATTTTCATTTTTTTTATTTCTTATTAACAAAAATAGCTAAAAGTTATCACTTATAAACAATAGTAACCTTTAATTTTGTTTTCTTTTTCCGGAATTTGTTCTAATCCCATTCCAGGAAGATGAGCTGTCACTTGTTCATAATCTGTAAAAGAAACATTAAAATATTTACATTTTTTTTTTTGCTATGTACAAGATATATTCTTTGTAATTGGTCACACTTATCTGTGCTTAACTTAGGCATTTCAAATCAAATAGAATGAGAACATACATTGAACTTTTATATTTTCATTCACGTCCATAAAATACAACTTTTTCTGGTTTGTTCCTATTCTTTGGATAAAATTTCAGCGTTTTTATTTTCTTTAGTCAAAAAATTTAGCCTATTCATTTCATTTATATACAAGAATATTTTCCAAAATATTTCTACTGTTTGATATATTCCTTCAATTCCATATATGTAAAGGTAAAAAACAACAAATCTATCTACCCTACTGAATTATTAGTCAAAGAATTATGAAGATTATAAATGCCTTGAAGAAATTCTTTATGGGTATATACTAAAGATAAGGAAAAAAAAAACAACAGATGTGAGCACTTGAAAGAAATGGTTTGGTCTCATGCCAAACGGTGGTAAAATTAAACATACCATCAACAATTTGGGAGACGTGGGTGTACATGGAATTTAGCTTCTTTTATTCTCCATGACTCAATTGCTTTTAGTTACATCCAACTATTTTATTAAATAAGATACATTAGAATTTGAGAATCTTTAACTTGAACAGCCATATCAATTGGAAACAATAGGAAGTCTTACCACAGTCTGCCATATCTTGGTCCATTCCCAGAGGAAGAGTGTTCAGATTGTATCTGTCTCTCATCTTATCTCCAGGTCTGTTTCTAGTCCAAAATTTTCTATAAAGAAAAAAAAAAATTTTATGGAAATGTAAAAGAAAGAAAATCAATTTTGAAATATTAAAACATGAGAACAGATTAACAAAAAGGAATTTGAACAAAACTTAGGCAGAGTTAAAATTCATCAGTTGACAATCTCCATAAATTCAAATATGTGATACAACCTCAAATTTAAATCTTTTTTCTTTTCAAATTCATCCAATAAAACTATTTTTCAATAAAAATTGAAATGCCTCTAAAGAAGTGTAAATACGTTAATGTTAGTATTTTAATAAGATTTGATATATTTACCTAATATAGTGTTAATTAAAATCATAATTGTGAACATTATGGAAAAAATATCAAGTTAATGATAAATATATTTTTGGCACCTTTCTAAAATAGAATTATAAAAAAACGTCAATGAACCTTGTTTAACCAGTAATGCATTATAGAACAACTCAAATGAATTTAGTAATCAGATCAAAATGCAAGATGCTTTAGTTTTTCTTATATCTAAGAAATTAATACTAAAACAATTTGGAGACAGAATTTTTTGTGTTGAAGCAACAAAATTTAGAATAATAAATAAACGTACGTTGTATGATCATTTGATCCTGAAGCCAAAATGTGGCCCATGGGATGCCATGCCAGACTCCAGACCATGCCTTCATGAGCTTCTTCCATGCCACCAACTTCTTTGTCTGTTCTGTTATTATACAAATAGAACAAATGTTTAGTTAATATTAAAAACAAATCAAAGTTGTGTGCAATTGCCAATGAAAAATTTTGTGAACTGTACTTACCCAACTTGCCAAAACATGATAGTACCATCAGAGCCACCACTGCAAAACAAACCTTCATGAATAGGATGCCATGCTGCAGCTAAAAAGTGAAAACAACAATTGATTAGAGAAGAGCAAAAAAAAAAGTGAAAGCAGAGATAGATAAATCAAACTGTAGATTGATGCAAATGTCTCATATCATTTTTTTTTTCACAATATTAGGGAAATTTTTGAAGTAATTTTTAGTTTACTCAGTATTATTGCCTGTACAATCAACCACAGCATGCTGTTTTGGGGAAAATTTAGAAACTAAGAAAATGGATTGCATACGAATTTATAGAAAGGAATATTGGTCAGCATTTAAACACTGACAATTCACTTCTTGCCTAATGAAGAAAAAAAATATTTTAAAAGAAGAAAAATTAAATTTATTACAAGGCTCCAAAACAGAAAATCATAGCTAAGATAAGAAACAGCCTTCAATATCTCAAATGAAATCTATTGGGTAATAGCATTTTTCTATGTGTTTGGATGAATTCAAAGGTGATTTGTTAACTCTTAAATGACAAACCTGGATAAGATGTTACTGCACTATATTGTAGTGAACAACTGTTTCATTTAAATGGCTCTTTGTTTGACTAGCAGTTCCAGCAACTTTGAGATATCAAAAAAATTTTCAAATCAAAACCGAAATTGTTATTTTATGATAGCTAGAAAATTTAGCTAAAAGATAGTATCAGGTCAGAGAAAATCAAAGAAAATAATTTGATGACTAAGCAACAACACTATAGATTTATATAAATAAGATTTTGTCAAAACATTGTTGGAAACATCTGCATTAACTTAATATCTTACAAGGAGCACTATACATTGTTTAAAATTTGAAGAGTTTTTATTGTAAACCTTGCAACACATATGCAAATACAAACTACATTAATAATAAAATAAAAAAAAAAAACTATAAAATACAAGGTCTTTTATTTTCTATCACAAATTTGCAGATAAGATAGAATGATACATTCATAAAACAAAAGAAATATTTTGTAAATTGGAACTGCAATAAAAATATGTTATTTAAATGCAACATAAAGCAATCCAAGCCTATATTGATAATGCTACAGATACAGAATGATAAAATCTATTATACAAGTAAACCTGATAAAATTTCACATAGTTTAATGCAGTGTATTATTAGTTAATAAATTATATACTACAGCATTGGATATATATAGCCACAAGGCCTATGATTATAGCTGATTTAGAAAAAAGAAAGCTTCAAACAGTAAAACAAATGTAACTAAAAACAACCAAATAATATTTTTTAAAAACTGCCAGTTGATAATTCTTAAAATGCTTCATGATCAAAAGACCAAGATCATTTATGTCATCAAGAATGCATAACTTAACCTGAACTAATGTATAAGCTCTTTTTGAATGCATTTCCTGTAGAGTCTTAAAATATAACTGACAAGTTACAAGCAATTATTTGCAATAAACAGGCTATAAAAAAATTTCATTTAATATTTGTGAAGAAAAAAAAAAAAAGACTAAAGATTTAAACTATAGAAAAATTGTTTCCAATTATTTACCAGTAGCTTCTTTTTTATGCCCACGAAATGTCTGCATTTCTTCCTTCATATTTCGGATATCAAATAACTTGAGCAAGTGGTCCCTGGAAGCAGTTAACAGCCAGTTGCCATTTCGATTCCATTTTAATTCCATCACAGTACTTTTATGAGCATGGCTGTACAGGTAAAAGAAAAAATGACAGGAGACCAACTTTTAAAATAATTCAAGAATTGTAAAATAAGGAATAATTTACATACAAATTTTATAACAAAATCAAATCTCCACAAAAAAAATAAAAGAAATGCTATATAATACTAAAAGATAGAAGAGTTCAAATAATTTGATAATATAATTTATGATGAAACTTGTTAATCTCTTGCTGTGATGGTTTTTCTTATATTACATAGGACAAACAATAACTTTTGAAGAAATCAAAACAGAAAACTCTAAACACTTTCTACGTTTAAAAAAAAAATTGTTTTCTGTGTAAGAATCAGTTTCTATCAAACTGAACATGGATTTTATCATTCCTATGAAATTTAATTATTCAGTTTTCTAAAAAAAAAAAAAAAGATCAAAGATAAATTATAAGAATACTTTTGTTAGAATAAAGTATTATTTGAGGGATGACATTTTTATTACAAACTACTTTATATAAGAAGAAATCAAGTGAGAAAGTTAAAAAGAAAAAAATGTAATAAAAATTATTTTACATTGTAGCAAGTGATTGGCCAGATTTGGGATCCCAGAGTTTGATTGGTTGTTGGTTATCTTTGCTGCCGGAAGCAATTAAAGCTTTTTGTGGATGCCAGTCCACACACTTCACATCAGCACCATGACCTAGAAAACAAGAAACAAAAAAAAGGAACCATTAGACTGCTATTTAGTATAAAACAAATATGGAATACAGATTTCTACTTCAACAGTATCTAGTAAGAAAACAATCGGTTTCTTTTTTTTTTTTCATAGATTATAAGTTTAAGAATATTCTTTACATTTGATAAAATTAATTTCTTGTAACCTAATTTACAAAAATAAAAAAAATTGATGAATTAATCTAAGAAAAAAATAAACACTATATGAACAATATCATGCTTTCAGTTTTATTTTTGTGAAGGTTTTTATAAAAAAAATTTTATGATGCATATTTTTAAGCAAATAAACCAGTCACCATTAACAAGAATTCTAAAAGGAATTTTATTTGATCTTTTAAATAGCTTTCATTTTCAATTTTTATAACCTTGGTAATAATTTTTGCAAGGTGTGAGGCATGTTTTTTATAATTATGTACACACTAGATTAAACTTCATTTGCATTTGTCTTTATCAACTGGGCCATGTGGATAAAGATATTGGTTAGATCCAGTGACTAGACCCAAGAGTTGTGAGTTCAATACCAGGCCATAACAGTGGTGAACTAGAAGAGTTGAGTTAAAGAGAAATAACTGACATCCAGAAGAGGCATGGCACGTGAAACTAGAACAATCTCACCCCTGTGGAAGAAATAAAGGGTTCAGTTCGAAATTCCAATCACCTGAAGAAGGCTGAAACATGCAACAGCTGAAATGTTGTGAATATGGCAATGAAGATGTGGATAACAGCCCAAATTATGTAAGCGGAAATATAAGAGTGGCAAGAAAGAAAAATCCTGCAAAACTCAAATTCACAACATTGACAGATCCATCAAAGGACAAGTTTTAAAGAAAAGGAAGCAAACTCCTATTCAACTAACCATGAATTTTAAAAAGTCAAGCTGAATTAGGTCTCAAGATTGACTGAACAGGATTTTCAATCCAGGTTTAAAAAAAAAAAAAAAAAAAAAATCTTTTGCAGCCTAAGGACTGGTGCTCTTTTGAACAGTGTTACAAAGACTAGTTTTCCCCACTACCCCCACCACAGTGATATTAAAGGATGAAAACAGTGATACTTGTGAATGGTTCTAGTGAAACATCATTTTCATTGTCTTTAAATAGCAAACATAATGGAAGAGGCATTTTGTGTATGAGGTACTTTTTTCAGCCAAAAGTGTTTCTTGGCTAATTGTGTACAAGAAAACAATGATGTAAAATACCAAGATATTTTGCATTGTTTTGCTCTGTCCAGAGACTATCTTGATATGGGGGGGGGGAACATTCTGATAGATCCATCAAAATCTAATGTCAGAAAACAATGACCAGATATGAATCCAATTGTGAACAACTCAAGTTTTATACAATCCAAACTAACATTTTAGGATTTGTCTCTAGCAAATATAATTTGTGGAATGGCGTCAAATAACAGTAGAATTCTTTTTCTGCTGATTTTCTGCAAAAGCTCAATGATACAATGATTTCCAGGATTGAACACCTGAATACTTCTAAACATAATCATATTGAATATTCATTTACTGTATATAATGCTTATACTTTGTGTGCTTTTATAAAATTATTTGTACATTAATGTATTTATCCCCACCCACTTGAATGAAATATGGAACAAGTCTAAGTATTTTAAATAAAGACCTCATGTGGGTCAAAAATAGTCCAGTTTCTTTGGCAATTCCTCCTTTAAGGATGCCTCAGACACCAGGTAATTACTTTACATCTCTCCTGGGAGAGTTGAAAATTAATATTATCTCCAAGACAGTACCTTCACCTTCGGGAGGTGGTTAGAGTCATTAACTGGTGCCTGAGGCATCCCCAAAAGGGAAAGTGCTGAGGACACTTGAGCATTTTTTCCATGGCATTGTTGGTAAAAACACTTTAATCTGACCTGGAGTCACATTCAGTTGCAATGTGAACACTGATAAATACCTCCTGAGACTGAACTTACAGAGTTAATGTAAGCTTCTCAGGTCAAAAGGCCCAATTAAATTATATAGTTATATTCAAAAATTAACAAAATTTATGTAACTAATTTTTGCATGGGTGAGAATGATTACATTTTTTTTTTTTTTGCTATCTTAACAAATTGGAGTTTTTAACTGTCCCCCCCCCATCATTCACAAGTATTATCCAGAAAGGAAATTACATACAACATTTGCCACCATATTCTCCAATGTCCCACCCCATCGAGGAAATATTTTCACAATTTAAAAGAATGTTAAAATATACACAAGCATATCTGTGTTTCTTGAGAGGTTGGAGGGGGGAAAATCTATCATATGTAGATACTATAGCCCCAACAAAACAGTGATCTTAATGAGTTCAAAATATTTTTAACTGTTTTTCCCATAATGCAAAAGACATTGGCCTTGAATTAAATCTCAAGAAGACAAAGCACATCCACAATTTAAGAACTAAATAAACGGAACAAAAATTGATCTAGTGACTGATTTTGTATATCTTGGCCGCAAGTTATCCTGCAACAATAACTAAGTTGTAGTAAAACACTAAGTCAAGCTTTTGGAAAATATAAAGCTACGCTAAAATCGACAAGAGTATCAATCCACACTAAAACAAAGATATACTTTATATACATTTCAGTTGTTTTATAGGGTTTAGATTGTGGCATGGACTCAAATCAAAACATTCCAGAACCATACGATATGCATCATAACAAATCACAAAGACTAAATGAAAACCTCTCTTAGAAATGTAATTAATTTTCCTTCACTCTTTCATACCATTTATAGAAAATCCTTGAAATTATTGAACAAATTAAAAGAACTAGTGTAGAGCTCACTAAATTTTGTCTTCACTGAATAACACCTGGAAAAAGAAGTAGAGAAAAATAGAGGTGGAGGGAAAACACAATTCTGTGGTTAGCAACTAATGAGTGAAAGACACTAAATGAGCTTGCTCAAGATTGTAATGTATAGCAGGAAATAAGTCATGTAAGTTTACAAGATGCTGCAGACAGAAACAGCAACTAGTGATGATAATAAAATTTGGGAAAAATTTATGAAAAGTCATCTAAAACTATTTCTATCAGTGAGAATTGCTTAAAAATCTTAAAGGAAACTGTGATACATGCTTTCTCAAAAATATGACCAGATCATCATGTGAAATATGACATGCATCAAAGAAAATCTATTAAAGCATCAACTGGAAGATCTGTGAATAAATTGTATAGGTTTGAACTTACACAATAAAAGATTTATTTCATAGTTTATTTCATTTTTATTAACAAAGGGTGTTTTCAAATGAGATTCCAAGAGAATTGTTATATATCAAGCGTGAAGCACAGATACAAGATAAATACCCACATAATACAAAATGAAGTGTTAAACGATTCTACATCTTATTCACAAGTAAACTGCAAATGTGCAAAGGGATATTTTGAAAATCTTGAGGTCAATTAACTATTGAACAATCAATTCTATCAGAATTCAATTTACATAAATTTTAATGGAAGATTTCATTCATATTTAATGTACAACTGAGGACAATAACAAGGATGATTGCAGGAGGTCCTTATTATACATATAAAACATATTTAATTCAATAATATTAATATTACATTCTTTATCAGGAAATAGATTTTACTATTCAAATTTTATACTTCATTTAAAAAATCATTAATTAGATTCACCAAGAAACTGAATATATTGTTTCAATATTTGTACCAAGATAAATCAAAAATTACTTAGTGTCAAACAGAAACATAACTATCACAAACTATACTATTTTTTGCTATTTATTTTTTACAAGCCAAGAGGTTACATTGATGTTAGTCACATTTTCAAACTTCTAATATATTTTTATCTATTAAAAAAAAAAAAAAAAATACATAATGAAGTGTGTTTAAAAATGATTTTTTGTCAACTTTATAAGTCTGTATAAAATAATACACAGAAAATTAAGCCAAACCATTGAGGCCAGTTGCCTAATAAGGTGTTGGTTTACCACGTAGCCATAAAATAGCTTTTACCCATTTAGAAATGAGCCCTTTCAGCAATGAACACGAGTTAAAATGGACTGATCTGTAACTCAACAACAATAAAAGTACTGTGTGTTGAAAAACATTATTTTCCTTCAGCTTGATTAAAGTTATTTGAAATTTGTATCAGATTAAGCCATATGTGAGCTTGTACTTCACTGGCCATAATAATTTGGTCTTTATCAAACTCATTCAAATCTTCCTTGCTCATAACTGCAACTTTCAACACATCAAAACGAAGTACTCAAGGCTCGCTTACATGCATATCTACACCTGTCATGTGCAATTATTACTAGACATGTCAATATGTGAATGCATGTGTGTGTGTGTGTATATATATATATATATATATATATATATATATAATCTCCATTAGTGAACTCGCTCATCACAGACAAAAAATGAGGGCTAAGCAAAATAAAAAAGGTGCAACTTCTATTCTCCGGAGCAGACTTTTAGACAGATAAAACATGTGGCTTACCCATTTTGATTGAGTGATCGAGGACCAAATGCCACATGTTTCCATGGAGAGCATATATAACACATTGGTTAATTTATTAAATATACTCTTCTAGTACAGGATGGCACCCTTTTGTTTTTAAAACTGCCTCAATTCTTCTGGGACCACCACCAGATTGAACAGTTGATACAAGGCAGGATGGATCTATACTTTCATGTTGCTTAAGCCAGATTCTGGTTCTAACATCCAAATGTTCCAGCAGAAATTGAGACCCATCAGACAAGGAAAGATTTTTCCAATATGCCATTGATCAATTTTTGCCAGAGTTTCTAGTTTTTATCTGACAAGAGTAGCACCTGGCATGTAGCTAATCTGCTTCAAAGTTGTTACATGTGTGATCAGTGAGGCTCTTCTGCATACCTCCATTGTTAAGAGTTGTTATTTGAGCTACTATTACCTTTTCTATCAGCTTGAACCACTTTCATCAACAGATTCCCACTCATTGGAATTTTTTTTTTCCTTTTCTGACCATTCTCTGAAACTCTATAGATGGTTTTGTTTGAAAATTCAAGTAAATACATTTTTGAAATACTCAAACCAACTTGTTTGGAAATAATGACCAATCAAAGTCACTTCATTTAGCCTTCTTTTCCATACTATTGCATGGAATGAAATTAACCAGGTCCTCATGACCATATTTAAATGCCTATATCTATTAAATTTCTGCTACATCATTGGCTGATGAGAAATTTGCATAAAAAACACCTTGTTCATGTATACTTAATTATTAAGTGTATATTTCTATTCAAACCTAACTAAAACTGGCTAAATACAATTGTTGAAGCTCAGGATATGTCAGCATGCAATAGTATAGCTTAAAATATGTTAAAAACAACCCTTTAATAGATCAATAGAATATACCTTAAATAAAACCCCTGGGATTTTGTTTCTTAAATATTACACATAGCTAACATTATACTATTAAAAGTATTATTTTTGCTATATTACAGCAATCAACTTTGGAATGGAATACTTAATTAAAAGTTCCATCTCTGTAATTGAGTGCTTTTATTATTTAGAACATTTTTAATGCCTTTTTTGTGAAGAGCATTACTGATCTAGAATTAACATTAAAATGAAATGAATTTAAATAATCTTAACTCCTTAATTCTATAATAAAACAATTAATCTAGAAAAAGCTTTCATACTAAGGCTAAGTATTTATACAAATTATTTTTGTTTGGATTTGATACTAAAATACCTTTTTCTATTAGGAAACAAAAATATCTACTCATCTTTATTTAAAAGTATTCAAAATAACTAAAATCTTTGTCCATATTAATCAGTCTATAAAAAAGGCAGATGACAAGAATTCTATGCACAATTCTGAAAATTGTTATTCTTCACATTAAAATTTATCCTCTAAAAGAAAAATTCTTAACCAACACGACAGGAAATGTGTAATGTTATACAATTAAGTAAATTTTTAAGGAAAATTTAACTGGCATGTTTTGTCAAGTGAGTATATTGGTGCTTCAGCTGACAGAACTGTACAGAAGTGGTTTACTAAGTTTAGAGTTGGTGATTGTAGCCTTATTGAAGAAGAATGCTTAGGAAGACTACCACCACTACTACAGATGACAACCAAATCAAGATATTGATTGAGAATAACCTGCATTACACAACGTGAGAACTGGCAGAAACACTAAATTTATCAAAATCTACCATCCATGAGCACTTAGTAAAACTTGGGTACCACCTGATTTGAGTGAAAAGAATCTTTTGGATCGCATTTCATCTGTAATTTGTTGTATGAACACAATGAAAATGCACCCTTTTTGAAGCAAATTGTGACGGGTGATGAGAAATGGATTATTTACAACAATGTTCAGTGAAAAAATCCTGAGGTAAGCAACATGAGCTAACTTTAACCACCACAAAAGCAGGTCTTCTTCCTAAGAAAGTCATGCTGTGCATCTGGTGGGATTAGAAAGGAATCCTGTACTATAAGCTTCTGCTAAGTAACCAGTCAATTGATTCTGAAAAGTACTGCTCACAACTGGATGGATTAAAGGCAGTAATTCAAGAAAAACACACAGAATTGTGAACAGGAAAGGCATTTTCCATCAGAATAATTCTAGATCTCACGTTTCTTTGCCAACACAGCAAAAATTATTGCCCCCACTTACCATATTCACCAGGCATTAATCCTTTGGATTTTCATTTATTAAGGTACTTGCAAAATAACCTCAATGATAAAAATTTCATTTCTTTGGATGACGTAAAAAACCACAATGAATTCTTTGCCAAAAAATCACCTAAATTCTGGGAAGATGAAATCGTTAATTTGAAGGTATAATGGAGAAAGGTTGTGCAACAAAATGATTCATATTTAGTTGAATAAACATTTAATGGCATAATTTTTTTTTTTGTTTTAATTTCCCTTAAAAATCAGCATGAACTTTCCAGACAACCTAATATTTTGTACTTTCATTATTTTATTAATTACAATATACTTTTTTTAAAAAAATCTTATTTTCTCTAAGTTTGAAATAATTGTATCAAATTTTAAACAATTAGGTAAAAGATTGTTTATTTTTTTTGACAATTTCCCAATATAGGCAAAATATGCACCTTTGAAGTGTTATTTTACTTTGCCTTTCTTGATTCAAATGTGGATCATCTGTGATATTATAGACAAAAAAAATTATACCACTTCTACAACTTCCTTTCTTACTTTGTGCAAGCTAACATTTACTTTCCAACTACATACCATAAAAAGCACAGTACTATCTTGTTTTTGCCATTCTGTCAGGATTAATACAAGCCCAATATAAAAAGGAAAACTAAAATCTATGCTATTACAAGTGGGAAGCAGAAGGAAGTGTTATTTTCTCATGACTATCCAGTTCCATTTATAAGAAGCAATTTATTGAAGACTCTGGCTGATATGATATTTTAAGAATTCTGGAGAGGTCAATATTAATTTTTCTCTTAAGTTACGCATAAAGAAAATCCTCAACAACAGATCAGAACTAAAGTTCAATGAAAACTACAGCTACAAAGAACAAATGTCTCAAATTTGGTTTCCATTGTAGAATATATATCAACTGTCTTAACAAAAACAAAAAAAAACTGTTAAACGAAGAAGAGTTAATATAGCTATGTTATAATCCATGATTAAACAAATTTGCAATGAACAATTCTGAGTAATTATTGACTGAAAATTAGAGAATAGCTAATCAAAGCTTAATTGAAAAAAAAACAAAAACAAAAAAAAAAAAAAAAACAAACCCCAAAATAAATGCCTCCTTATATTCTCTAATACATCACTTGAAATTCAAAGATGAATTCTTATTATTCACAAAGTCAAGAATATTAAGCAGAATACCTTCCAGAATGTTTTAAAACATTCAATATAAAACAGATAATCCTCTGAAATTTTTCTGGTTTGAAACCTACATTTGGCTTGAACCTTTTTCCAATGTTGTAAGTATATGTATTCCTTATCTTTTTGTTGGCATAAAACTGAGCTCTCTATACACTTCTAGTTTTGGCAATGTTTTAATGTTCAACCTATGAGATAAATAACCATTTTCTTTTGCTCCAAAATATATTTAAAATATTTTTTTTTTTTTAATTATTTTATAATATACTTTTTTCAAAAACAAATATAAACAGAACATACAGACCTCAATGCAAAATAATAATGAAATTGGGCTTTGGGAAATTATTTTTTCAAAAACATCTTTCATTCTTTAACTATAGATCAGATGATGCCATACACCTGATGTCAAAAAATAGTTCTTCTTACAAGGAAGTGGGTAGGATGAAAAAAAAAAAAAACAAAAAAAACAACTTCCCTAAGTGCCTTCTAAATTGTTTTATTTGCCTAAGAAAGAAAATTTGTTTTATATGTTTGTATTTTATAGAAAATTATCAGTGCTCCTGAAATCTTTTTATAGTTCTTGCCATGATTTCAGAAATTAAACCCTAATGATTAGAAGGGGATCTTCTTCACTCCATCATAGCCAATTTCAGCAATATGTAATTCTTTAACTTACCTCTTAAGATTTTTTCCTCATGACATCTCTGGAAATCCCAGATTCGGACGGTGCCATCATCAGAACATGTTGTAAATTTAACATCTGTAGGGCAAAAGCTGTACAGAAAGAAAGAGAAAAAATTGCCACTAACCAAGACAAGGTTGTTAAAAAGGACCAAGAACACAGCAATTCAATGCTAAAAGAGCATGGGTTGGTTGGGAAGAAGTATGGAAAGAAAACTTCATTACTTTTTATGAGGAATTTCTAGATTAAGCCTATTCACTATTATTACTTCATTCCTAGTTTTACTGCATAGAATCAGAAATAATGTACTAGCTTCTGCCAAGACTTGAACCCAAATCCTCAGAGGTCTTTCATGAATGTTACCATAACAACCACAGTAGTTTTGATAAATAAGTAAAACAAATTTGTATTCATATTTTTCAATCCTTTCCCTCCTAATGATATGATGCAATATTAAAGTCTCGTTGGAAGCTCTATTTCTTTTTGATTTTATATTGTCTGTTGTAGCAACCAAAGAGTACATCATCATAATCAGAAACAAAAGTAAAATGAATAAAAACTAACCATAAAATAATAGCAGTAAACACAAACCTATGAGATTATCAAACTGAATTTTGCATTTAACAATTCTACATTCAGCCACTCATTGTTTGTATTAAAGAAAAAAAAAAAAGTCAAAGTTTTTTTAAAATCTACCTGCACAAACTATTTATTTGTTCTATTTTTTAGTTTATCTAAAATGATAGTGAAACAGAAAAGTGCTATTATTTATACTCTCATGTATATGTCTTCTTAATGGATATATATCTATATTAAGACAAAGATTGTTTATATCATTAAAAAAAAAAATATTTAATCAATATGGCCAAAAGTTTTCATAATAAAATTTATTATAGTTTTCAGTTTATTTTTAGTTTTACTTCTTGTTACACACACTTGGCAATGAACATTTTAACCTAAGTTTTTCAAGCTAAGAAAAAAAAATTAAAAAAAAAACAAATGGTTTCTACAGAAACAAACAAAATGTTACAATTATTATTTGCAAATTTTTAAATGCTAGAGTTTAAAATGGAGAACTCTTTACAAAGTAAACAATCTATTTTAATAGGCAATATCTGAGGAAAAACTAGCAAAAAAAAAAATTTACAAAAATATAAAGAAAAAAATTTGAAGTTTATATTTTAGTTGTCACAAAGATGATATATGATGTTTAATGAAATACTCAAAAATAATGTCAACTCCAAAAGTTTTAAAAACAGAATGAAAGAAACATAACTAATACTCAAAAAAGACAGAAAATAATGTACTGAAACAATTTGGTAGCTAAAGAGATAGTTATAGAGTAATGATTATGATGGTAATACTCAAAATTTGAACATTTATCACTAATTAAACTAAAAAATCTTTTATAAATGTTAATGCCTCTTGCCAGACAAACTGTGAAGTTATATGAATTAATAAACATATTCTACCAACAACATGAAGATATACAAAATAGATAATGCAGCAAATTAGTGCAACAATCTTTCAACTCCTCTTGTAGATGATCTATTTAGGCACTTAAAAGATCATTACAATTAATATTTTTAATGGTAAATATATAACTTTCAACACAGAAACTTTTATTGGTAAATTTGTTTGAAGTATGTTCCAAAATATAATCACACTGATATTTCTTTTGACATTAGTATTCTTTCTTATATAATTCAAATATTTTTCTATTGCTGTTAACTGAAGAGTATATGAAACTTCATTACAATCTAAAGAGAGAAAGAGAATGAGATTAGGATAAATTGGAATAAAATTTAAAATTTCTTGCTTGAAGCTGATAAATTCACATTTTTTATCACAAAGTTTAGGCAAACAAGGTTATGAGAATATTTTCAGACAAGAGAGAGAGAAACCTTAGTGACTCTGTAGAACATTTCTGCTCACTTGGGTCATGAGAAGAAAACATTTTATTTCACATTAGTAAATATGTAGCAAACATGTTCCTCTTGTTCTAATTAAAGTTTTCACAGCAATATTCCAAATGTTTTCAAGAGCATACAACCAAAAAATGGGTTTCCTACTTTGGAAGCATCGGATACCAACAAATAAATACTTAACACATTGTTTTTAAGAAATAAAAGAGCTGTATAATGCAAAGAGAACAGACATCATTAAAAGGAGAATAAAAGGAAAAACAACTATGTTAGCTTAATACAGTTATTGCTCCTTGCTCATCAAAACCTGATTGGAGAAAGCATTAGTTTTTTTGTTTTTGAAATGAAACTGTGACATAATTGTTAGTTAAAACCATTTGCTGCACATAAAGAACCCACAATCATTCTATGGAAAACAAAACCTAATTTAAAAATAAATTATTCCATGAAAAATCTTGCATCAGTCAACATCTGTGCCTTATGTCAAATTATCTGAGATTATAACAATCCTTTTTAAGTGCAAAATGGTGCAACTTAAAAATATTAAAGAACTAAAAATAGGGGTCAGGCCCCTATTACCTCCCCTACTGTGAAAAAACAGTAATCTAGGTTAACTTAAACAAGCTTCCTTACATCCCTACACTTTTTCTCTCTCTTTCCAAATTTTGGGTGTTACCCTTTTTTCAAGAATTCTTTATTTGCTTTTGTTACTTAATACTAATGCAGAACTGTTACATATATCAATAAACAATTTAAAAAGAGAAACTACCCAGAAAACAAATATTAACTTTCAAAAACATGATATGTTTGAAATAAAGAGAACCAATAATAATAAATATTTATGGAAAATATAAATTTTTATATATTGTGAAATGAAATTCATAGTTTAATTATAAGTCAATTTATATTTTACAGTAAATATTAAGAACATACCTATATAAAAATTCATTTTCCATTAAATTCTATACTTATGTAATTTTTTTTTTTTTTTTGCTATGATCTGAAAAGCAAAAATGTTTTTTTCAGAAAGTTAATCATGGTTATATTATACTAAAGCATAGTAATATTAAGCATACTAAATTTTGGATCAATTTATCAATTAAACTTGAAGAATCTTCTTGGGATCACTAAGAAAATTTTTTTGAAAAACTTGTATCTACAAATCTAATAATTCTTTAAAAATCTTTAAAATGAGTATTCATCAAAAGAAATTTTAAACTCTACCAAATCATTTTCTATTATTGTTTAAAGAAACAAATCCTTTATCGTAAGATTTGGAAGCTAGACGAATAGTTGTCTCCCTTAGATTATCCAACTCCATTGGGTATAAAGCGAGTAAAGGGGGAAAAAAAAAAAAAGCTTAAAACAGCAACAACTCTATAAATATGCTAAAAACGTGAAACTTTTGACAAATTAAGATGTAAATTTTAATAGGACGTTAGGATACTCAAATATGTAGATCTTTCTACACATTCTTCACTGAATTTATAAGACAAAATTTTAATGAGCTTAAGTTAATTACTGTACCTTATCTACAGATTATAAATACCTGGTTATTTCTCAAAGTTAACATTTACAGAAATAATCAAAAAGTCATTTTCTCAGTAACAGTCAGTGATTTTTCTTAATGGAAAAGATCTCAAATTAGATACCAATGAATTTTAGTGCTTTTACGAATAAAAAAAAAAAAAAAAAAAAAAAAAAGAGCTACAATTATGTTGAAAAACATGATGTAACATATCTGACAGAAATCCCAAAACAGAATTTGATTTATCTGTTGATAAACCTAAGTTTAAAATAAAAAAAAAAAAAAAAAAAAAGATTGCACTTGAATATTCCTTAATGTTTTGATATTGTAAGTTCATTCTATAATGGATGTATTTTACAAAGAAAGTCTATAATATCACCATTATAGTTAAACTATTTTAATATTTGCTTTATTACTGATATGAGCTTATATCTGAAAGTTCATAAACTTTTACATTAAATTAGCAGAAACTTTATTCTAAGAAGATAAAACAATAGCAGAAAGGATGCATCTATTTACAGGCTTTCTCAAATTCTTCATTTTCAACATTTATAATTTGTCAATGTTTTTCTATTTAAGAGGTTTTTTTTTTTTTTTTTTTTTTTTTTTTTTACAAGATAAACATTTGCTAAGGTTCACATGGCAGTACAAGACCAATGAGAGTAGGAAAATTGTTGCACCAAATGAAGAGAAGTGGCTGATCTGCCTTTAAAATCAGCTTATGAAATTCTTCTTTTCACCTTAATTCAAATACCAACCGTATTATTTACTAAGCTTAGCTAAACTGGCACAACTCAGTGAAAATCAAACTCCTACACTAGTAAATTGGTTTGCCATTCATAATTGCTAACCCTGTACCACAGGAAGTACTTGGAAAGTTTTTAAAAGAAAATAATTATGTAAGTCAGTGGAGGGAGGTGAAAAAAGGTGTAGTTATAAATTTAGCAAATTTACTCAAGATTTAAACTACAAATTTGTTAACACAAATTTTTAGTTTACATCTTGAGTATTTTTTATTTATTTTTTTTAAATACTTCAATCATTTATATCGTAGAAAATTTGAGAAAATTATAGATCAGTTTCTTTTGAAATCTAACAAGCGTCATTATATATGTTTAGCTTGAAATTTGAAGCCTCTTGATAAATCAAGCTGACTTTATGACAAAAAAATAAAAAATAATTAGGTTGTTTTAAACAATTTTAACATTCTAGTATAATGAATACAAAAGCTTCTTTATAAATGTGTCAATTTTTATAATCTAATTCTCGTAACTGTCACAATCTTCAAAGATATCAAAAATCAAATGTAGAATGTTGTTTTCTAATGATCTCAATGTCCAAGTAGGGCCTGCTTGTTCCAGTAACTTTCATATGACCATATCAAAAAGGGTAACTGGAAAACAATGGCTAAATAAATACACCCACTAAATAATCCAAGATATGCTGGTGGTGTAATAGTTAGTGGCTCAGATGAGAAATCAGAAAACCAAGTTTGAAGTCTAGCATTGTTAGTCACTTTTGCATGAAAACCCTAGGGAAAGGTATGAATCCATCTCTTCCTCCCAGCTATGGGTTAAATAGTAGGACAGTCTGCACTCTTCAACCTTGGTTGGAAACCAGTCTAGGAAAAGGATAACTG